AGACTGACCTTGCCTCTGTGAGGCCGTGCTTACATAGCACTTGACTAAATATTTAATATATGCGATAGCATCAGTATATTTTATATTATCAGTCTAATATCCTGAATACCTTTCAGGTTCGAAGTTTTATCACCATTTCATTTCCAGGCAATATTTAAATCATTATACAGATCAATCGGTCGTATGTCGTACGACTGCAAGGTGCCCCTCCGGTCACTTCCCTACAGCCAGTGTCCTGATACTTTAATTAAACTGATCAGTATCAGTTGTTAGCCTTCGCCAGGTCACCTGACACTTGGCCACAAAGTTACCCATTTTTCACTTCTAAATTTTATTTTCTTATGTTTCAATGGAAACAATTTACCACCCAAACTAATGAATATTTCTGCATGAAACCATTATCTTTCAAGTCTTTTTTCTAGCGCTTTAACTCTGACAACAAATTTAACTTGCATATGATTGTAATAAGTGTGCCCCTGTCAGTTTCTAAGTGCCAAGAGCACTTATTACAACAAATAAGGTATATGCTACTGTAACAAATTTGTTTTTAAAATAACAAAAGTCACCAGTTCAACTAATGCGCAATGCATATACAAAGTTTTCGTTGAAAATTGTTGAATGGTTTTTCAAGTTATGGCACGGAAATGAACCCTATCCTCATTTGATATTAAGTTGAAATAGTTTCCAAGGAAACATTAGAAAATAAAATTGTGAAAAAATTCAAAATAGCAAAAGGCACCAGTTAAGCTGAGGAGCAATGCTTTTTTGTTGGTACACAATTCAATTTATCATCCAAAACTGGCTCCTGCAGGAGATATTGCTTGGATGAGATCAAGCGATATCTACACTGTAGATATAGCTGCAATGAACTTACATCACAATGCTTTGCAGACCATTGTGACATCACTGGTTACCATGACGTCACAATCAAACGACATCACTGATGACTCTGCTACCGAAGCTGTTAGCAGTACTTTTTTACACTGAAGACACTGCTAATTACTGTCCACAAATTGAAAAAGTTGGAAGAATGATGTTGGATGATAAATAAAATCTCACCCTTGTGTCTTTTTATATCAAATATATCAACACTCGTTGATAAAAGTGGCAAAAATCCTCAGCAAGCCTCAGAATTTTTCCACTTTATATTTGATATCAAAAGACGCTCGGGTGAGATTCTCTATTTAATGAGACAATGATGTGATCTGAACCCCGGGAGGACAATCAATCCCAGGCATTCTGGGAAAGGAACAGTCAGTGCAACAATGCATATGCCAAGTTTCGTTGAAATATGTTGAACGAGGCAAACAGCAATGGGAACAAACCAAAAACATTACGTCTCCCCTCTCTTTGGGAGAATGAGGTGAGGTGAAATGGGGTTTAACGTCGCGTCCAAGATTATTGCACTTATAAAGCGACGTGCATGTACGTGTGTGTTTGTGTGGCTGCTTGTACTAGTCCGGACTGATGCCGATTTATAGTGCTAGCTCACTGAGATACAATGCCGCAGTTTAACATGAATACCCCACTCAGACACAGTATACTGACTCCGAGCCGACCAGTCCTTGTTTTAGCCCCTTAATGCCGAGCGCCAGACAGGGTAACAACAAGTACCATCTTTTAACGTCTTTTGGTATGACGCGGCCGGGGATCGAAACCTATACCTTCAGCTCTCTGGGCGGACGTGCTACCACTAGACCACGGAGGCGGTCTTGGGAGAAAGAGAGAGACATAAGAAATGGCACCAGAAAGAGCCAGCAGTTGCCTAGGCAACTGTATGTCTAGAAAAATCCTTCTCGCTCATGTCTTGATGTAGAAGTCTTTGTTTACAGGTTCACTATGTTCAGAGAGAAAATAACTAGACACTATCTTAAAACATTAAATTTTATTTACTTATTGTGAATCATCAAAATATATTACATTAATGTAATCTATTGTAAAACTACACAAAATGTACAATGGATTCTTGTAGTAGAAAAACTTGACAAAATAGATACAGGTACATTTGTAGATGACTCCTGGCAATTTGATCATTTCATCATCAAATATTAGTCAGCAACATTTCAGGGATAACACAGCAGCCTGTGAATAATCTCGTCTGAGCTTGTCAAACTAGTGGTCGATACAATGAACAACGAGGTCCGTTGGTTTCTGTTTACTGGTAATTTCCAGTAATGTACTTGTAAAATGGGCCTTGTACCCATAAAATTTGACCTATCTCTCCATTGGACCAGCAGGAAATATGACATGATTACTTAAAATTGAAATCTTGACCAAGTCTCTATCTATTTAAGAAAAAAAAGGCAAGTAGGAGTTGTTTATCGCACAATATAGGGAGAATATACCATGAGGGGTGCAGCCCCGAGTGTTTAATTCTCTCGGCATTGTTTTATTGTATGATAAACAACAACCACGAGTTGTTTATTTCTTGTATGAGATATCAACCTTTTGTACGAAGCTATACAAACTTTTACCGATATTTAAATAATGATGACAATCCGTAATCGGCAATGTTGGACAACTCCATTTTATGATGCTTTTGTTGAATGATAACACACATTCAGTCACATAAAACATTGTGATAACTTAACATCATCATCATGATAATATCATTATGACAAGCATGGGCTACAGTGGACCCAATTGGACTTGTAAACCTCAAAATGCTAACAGCAATGTAATTATGCGCTCATAAAACATGTTAAACATGTTAAATTTGATGAAAATGTTTTGTATCACATGAGTTGGCAGGGCTTACTTTGCCTAATTTAAAACATGCACCAGTGCACATAGTGCATGTCAACAAATTTCAAATATCTGACTGACCCTTAATACACAGTCAATACCTCTAAGCTTTTTTTACCATACTACATCACTAATCCCTGTGTTCAGTGTACCTTGTCATGCTTTCTTGGGCTTGACATCATCAAACTGTGGGTACTTGAAGATTATATGCACATGTTCCTATCATGTTTCACAACAATATGTTATTAATTTACGTAAAATAATGGAACAGTCATCAGAGATCTGGGATGTTATTTATTCAGACAAGTAGTTAATGCCTGTATGTTTCAACTGTATATAGGACCTTGTTTATATAGTTTTGTTTGGTGCAACTTGGTTTTTATGTTATCGTGTACCTGGTGCATAGTAAGTCAAGTTCCTTAAATCGAGCCCTGCCTGGTTAAGTTGAATAAGTAGATACATTTGGCTCAGTCTCTTGAATTGCTGAGCAGTCTCAGAAGAATCCTACGGTCAAATTATCAAACCTCTCAGTAAAATTACCAAAATTATGCTGCTAAAATAACAAAATTAGTTAAAACATACCCATTTCCTTCTCAAATATGAATACAAACTCATATTGTAGGATTTATATTTTGTGTGTTTGAATCACTTGTTAAATGTTTGAGCATCTTTCTAGTGCAAAATTTAACAAAAAAAGAAGCTTGAAAGTAATTAATATACCTCAAAGACGAAAAACATATTTACCGGTAAGTCAATTCTTATAAATAAATACATCAACAATGGTAACTTCACAGGCTGCTTAATTAATCATAAACACAAAAAAACGTAGACAACACAAGCCTCGCGGATTCAATTATCAAGAATCAGTAGTCTGTTGGTGGGCGTGGCCTAATTTTATAATAATGAGTTTATTCAGAAGTTCTAATATAAGGCCACGGGCCCATAGACATACAAAGTCATGATATTTGGCATATCAATGAAAACATACATATAACTTAATAAACATTACATGTGGAGTGACAAAGTTTTAAGGGGTTCATAATACTGAGCGTGAAGCGTCTCCTTGTGTCATTTGTCCGTTTGATTGTCCAGTTTAAACGAGAGAAAGTTCATTGATAACTGACTGCATATAAAAAACATTGACACAAGGTATTTTTGTTATAAAAATAAGATTTTTAATAGGGCTGGAACTGGTAACTCTGGTTGGGTGGGTAGGACCCGGGTACCCACGGGACTACCCGGAAATGTGGTTAGTCACGTGATATATTGTTTCATGACAAAAATTCACGACTCCATGGTTACCTACAAGTCGCTAATGTTTGCATATCTTTCTGCATATACACACATTCCTACTGACTTTAATATGTTTTGAGTGAATATACAGCTTCAGTCAGCTTCAGTGTATGCATGACCAGATTGTTTTATACATGTACCTAAATACTTCTGGCCAGGAGTCCGAAAAAACAACTCCTAAACGGCCATTTTGTACCCAAGTCTTGATGCTACAGTGGGTATCTGGGTAGGGTCGGGTAATAGGGGGTCGGGTACCTGGGTAGTAAATCTGGACTTGTCCCAGCCCTTATTTCCAGGCACCAGGAAGTGACTTTAAACATACCACTGTTACTGTAAGACGAACAATGTGGAGACCTGTACACACTTGTAGACTTTTTTATATTAACAGACCCATGGAGGGCTGTCAGTTTCATGAAAATATGGCCCGGATAAAAAATATGAAATGCACATACAACATTCTTGATCCAATTCAAATAAAAATTATTCTGCATAATTGACACCACACACACAAAAGTACTTGTATTTCGTTTGTTTGTCTGTTTGTTGTTTAACGCTGCACTCAGCAATATTCCAGCCATAAGACGATGGTCTGTAAATAATCGAGTCTGGACCAGACAATCCAGTGATTGACATCATGAGTATTGATCTACGCAATTGGGATACGATGACATGCATCAACCAAGTCAGCGAGTCTGACCCCGCGATCCTGTTTGTCACCTTTTACGACAAGCATGGGTTGCTAAAGACCTATTCTACCCCGGATCGCCATGGGTCACTTGTATTTCAGTTAATCATGGTAATACACCCTCAACAGAAAGATGTTAGTAAAGGAATATTGTTAATAATATATTATTTGTAATATTTCTTCCAAATTTAGTTGAACAAGTTTCGTTGTTTCAAATTTCAATGTAGCAACTATTTGGGTCATTGGTATTATGCTTTGTGGACTTTGAGAGTGTGTGACTTCTCTGCACAATCACTGGTCATGTGACAGAACAGATTATTTCACAACAAAAAAATAAAAATGAGGATGGAAAAGGGTGGCCCAGTTATCGAAACAATTTGCTGTGCCAGTGGGTCATGGGTTCAACTCCCTGATTTGTCCTGATTATGTTTCTAGATTTGTCAGCACCATACCTGTGCTGGTAGGTTTCATCAAAAATTGAAATCGTATAAGTATCAAGCTGGATATCAACATGATCAAGCTGGTATGCTGTGATATCATTGTTCAGGGCAACCTAATCCTAAGCTGACTCTATCACTCAACAAGCATGGTGAGAATGCAGAGTCCAAAGGGGGAGGGGAAAATGAGTGATGGAGAGGAACGAGAATATGAAAAAACAGGTGGGGAATGGAAATTTCTTACAAGATGGCCATGGCTAAATGCTGATAATGCTAGTGAAATTTGATACTGGCTAGTAACTATTACATTGTATTAAGCTTAGCTAGCCAACCTGGCCAACCTGGCCAGCAATATTTTAAACATGATCAATGAGGATCGGGGAATCATACCCATGACCACACCTGACACACAACCGGTCCTTAACAACTGGACCACATTTAAAAAGCAAGTACGCTCAATGGCATAGCCTAAAATGACCTCTGCACATGCATCCATCCTACTAAAGTTCAAGGTCAGCATGGCTTCTTATTTGGAGGCAGGCCACCAGCTGTGAGAATTCTCTTCCATTCACTAGAAAACTGGGACCATGACAAGGCGTCACTAAAGAACCAAAGCTCAGGTGGTGGGTAATTTGGTCCCATGTTAAAGTTCAGATAAAATGGGGATGAGTCCAACAAAGCATCTTGTGGCCTTAACGTCCAGTACTTCTTATACAAATTCACAAAGCATCTAGATGGGGTTTGTGCTTTTGCAAACACTTTAAGCGAATATGAACCCTTCATTTGACGCTGGATGTATTCAATACCCATTTCATCTGTACATAAGCGAATATCTCCCCATCTCAGGTTGTAGTGATCTGCAGGACGCCTGACACCGAGGTACTTGGAGTTGAGGAACCACATCGTGCTAATGAGTGAGTCAGGATTCTGATCCCCAAGTACCTGTCTCTGGAACAATGTTTCAATTTCATTGTCATCAATTGGAACCAGCATATGTCTCCCAGTCTTACTTAGATCAAGTTTGTTCTTCAAAAAGTCTCTCGACGCCATGAACGCATCATCTTTTTCTATTGAGTAAGGGTATTTGTTCTCCCTTAAATGCATGTCAAGGTGTATCTGCACATTTTTCAAAGTCCTTGCTGTTAACTCCTCACCATTTCCCTTCCTTACACCCTGGAAGAAGTCCAGTAAGAGACTATCAAGCTTGGGAGTTTCCACAGTCAACATGTCCACATCTACACCTGACTTATTGAAATGATACTTCTTAAACTGTCGGACAGCATAATCTACCACTTTCCTTGTTCCAAGGTTCCACTGATCTTCCTTCCTAGGGACAGTTTTGTTAGGAACACCATAGTCTTTAGCCAGGGCTGTTTGGTCATCTTGACCACTTTCTGAGGAGGACTCGGGATGACTGTTGTCCAGGTCATCATCAAACAAGTCCAGATCGATAACTTCATCTTCATTCAAACCTGGTACTGGCTTAGGAGAATATGCAACAGGTTCCTGCTTGATTCTCACAGCCAAATCTTCAGGTGCTCCAGACAATGTTTCTTCCTTACTTAACTTTGAGCTGGCACCTTCAGTTGTATTGTTGGATGAGGCAGCTGGCTGAGAGCTTCCCTCAGACGATGACAAACTTTGTCCAACTTTTTGAGCAGGAGCAAGAACAGGAGGAGTAGGAGCTGGAGCTGGAGCTGGAGCTGGAGCTGGAGCTGATGCTGGAGCTGGAGCTGGTGCTAGAGCTGATGCTGGAGCTGGTGCTGGAGCTGGAGCTGGTGCTGGAGCTTGTGCTGGAGCTTGTGCTTGTGCTGGTGCTGGAACTGATGCTGTATTACTAGTATTCAATCCCTCGTTAGCACCAAACTCACTCTTTACCCTAACAATCTGATCACTGGCAGACACAGGAGGAGTAGGAGGAGGTCTCTGAACATTGAACTGTTCTATGTTACCTTGGACATTTACATTTTGCTGAGTGCTCTGGGTTCTAGGATCCTGAATAGGAGAGTGTTGCGTGGGACTAACTGCTGTCATTGACATAGTCCTCTGTTGTGCCTGCTGCACTAAGGGATCAGGTCTTGGTCTGTTCATGGAACCAACTTGTCCCTGCTGTCTATTCGTTGCACCAAATTGTTCTTGCAATCTGTTAATGGCACTATATGGTCCCAGTTGGCTGTTAATGGCACCAATCTGTCCTTGTTGGCTGTTAATGCTGCCAAGTTGTCCCTGTTGGGTGTTCATGGCGCCAAGTTGTCCTTGCTGCCTGTTCATGGCGCCAAGCTGTCCCTGCTGCCTGTTCATGGCACCAAGCTGCCCTTGCTGGCTGTTCATGGCGCCAAGTTGCCCTTGCTGGCTGTTCATGGCACCAAGCTGCCCTTGCTGGCTGTTCATGGCGCCAAGCTGTCCCTGCTGTCTGCTAAAGGCGCTATACTGTCCTTGGGGGCTGTTCATGGCACTAAACTGTCCTTGCTGCCTGCTAATGGCACCAAATTGTTCCTGTAGTCTGTTAATGGCACCATAATGTTCCTGCTGTTTGTTCCTGGCACCCAATTGTTCCTGATGCCTGTTCCTGGGAGCCATTTGTTCCTGCTGCCTGATTGTGGCACCAAATGAATCCTGTGGTTTACCCATGGCGCCATATTGCCCCTGTTGTCTCATCATGGCACTATACTGTTCCTTTTGTTTGTTTTGATTTATAGGTGATCTTTTAACTTGGCTCTGAGGTGGTCTTTGCCCACTGGCCATCTCCCTGCCCGCTGGCCATCTCTGCCCTTGCCTTGAGTTCGACTGGTAACTCTGACCAGATGAATTCATGGTGTCTCTCCCTGGCAACTGGTCATTGTCATCAATGACTTCAATGACATCAACTGATCTACGAACTTTTGATGGCACATTTGGATTCTCAGGAGCTGAGGAGTCTGGTCGGGATCTTCTTCTGTTTTGGTTATGCTGATGAACGTTGTCCCTATTTGATGGAATGTTCATAGTATTCCTGGCCATCATTGGTTGAGGTCGGCCTGGATTTATAGGGCGGGAGGTTTTAAACGCCTTTGTACAGTAGCTCTCACTGACCACATTACCACTGCTCTGTAGCAGTTCACTGAGGACATATCGTTCTTTCTTCATGTTGTCAATCTCCAAACACAAGTAACCGCTGACGTCTACACTCTGATTGAAGTCAAGAGAATTTCTACACAATCCTTGAAGCTTCTCTATAAAGGAGGTAAAGAACTGCACAGAGTATTGCTTCTCCATTCTTGCTCTTCTTCCTAGGAACAGAAAAATCACAAATTAAATCCTTTGGTAGATATATCATGGAATGTTCTCAGGGTTTCAGCAATCCATACACCATCCATCACAAGCGGCCATGCAAGCGTCTTTTTCCAGGATTTGTTTTCTTTCACTTTTGGCCTGTTCAGCCACAATGGCCCATCTGTGATTTTCTGACCACAGAGCCATGCTCCAGACATGTCCGCCACAATTTCATCATGATAATACATAGAGCCATGCTCCAGACATGTCCGCCACAATTTCATCATGATAATAACAGCATTAGATGTATATCAGTCTTTAAGGTCCATGTTTGGCTTAAAATCTAACATCTCTTGCACACAAAATAAAAATAAAAAAGGGGTTGGTCTCTGAAAAGATTTCATCATCCAAACCAGGCTGCAGAATTTATAATATATGCTTAATCATTTAATGACACAGACATGACATGTGCAACAGTGTTTCAGGGGACATTTTTAACTGCTGGGTTTACGGACAATTACGATTTAAAAAATAACAATCAAGATAACTTTTCATTAGTCCCAATATTCAAAGCATTTGTGCTTATCATGGTTATTGCTGAACAAAAACATTAAACACACCTTTCGACCTGACTCACAACTTGCAATGTTGTGTTTCTGCCACCAAACCACTGCCTAGCCTAAACTTCCTGAATGGTAAACCCTTATAAGTTCAATAATTGTACTTCAGACCTTATCAAATCACATCCACGATCTGATGTGATTAAAATTCTCTGAATAGTTCTGGTAGGGGTAAAAAGTAAAAATACAAGTCATATTGTCACCATGAAACTCATATGTGCGAAACAAGACACATCCTGACTCCAGTGTTGCACACATTGCCAAGTTGGGGATAAACTTGGGTATACAGAAAGGTACCTGGGATATATTTGTGTATACAGAAAGGTACCTGGGATATATTTGTGAATACAGAAAGGTACCTGGAGTATATTTGTGAATACAGAAAGGTACCTGGGGTATATTTGTGTATACAGAAAGGTACCTGGGATATATTTGTGTATACAGAAAGGTACCTGGGATATATTTGTGTATACAGAAAGGTACCTGGGATATATTTGTGTATACAGAAAGGTACCTGGAGTATATTTGTGAATACAGAAAGGTACCTGGGGTATATTTGTGTATACAGAAAGGTACCTGGGGTATATTTGTGTATACAGAAAGGTACCTGGGGTATATTTGTGTATACAGAAAGGTACCTGGGATATATTTGTGTATACAGAAAGGTACCTGGGGTATATTTGTGTATACAGAAAGGTACCTGGGGTATATTTGTGTATACAGAAAGGTACCTGGAGTATATTTGTGTATACAGAAAGGTACCTGGGATATATTTGTGTATACAGAAAGGTACCTGGGGTATATTTGTGAATACAGAAAGGTACCTGGGGTATATTTGTGCATACAATAAGGTACCTGGGGTACATTTGTGTATACAGAAAGGTACCTGGGGTATATTTGTGTATACAGAAAGGTACCTGGGGTATATTTGTGAATACAGAAAGGTACCTGGGGTATATTTGTGCATACAATAAGGTACCTGGGGTACATTTGTGTATACAGAAAGGTACCTGGGGTATATTTGTGTATACAGAAAGGTACATGGGGTATATTTGTGTATACAGAAAGGTACCTGGGGTATATTTGTGTATACAGAAAGGTACCTGGGTTATATGTGTGTATACAGAAAGGTACCTGGGGTACACATGTGTATACAGAAAGGTACCTAGGGTACACATGTGTATACAGAAAGGTACCTGGGGTATATTTGTGTATACAGAAAGGTACCTGCAGTATATTTGGGAATACAGAAAGGTACCTGGGGTATATCTGTGTATACAGAAAGGTACCTGGGGTATATTTGTGTATACAGAAAGGTACATGGGGTATATCTGTGTATACAGAAAGGTACCTGGGGTATATTTGTGTATACAGAAAGGTACCTGGGGTATATTTGTGTATACAGAAAGGTACCTGGGTTATATGTGTGTATACAGAAAGGTACCTGGGGTACACATGTGTATACAGAAAGGTACCTGGGGTATATTTGTGAAAACAGAAAGGAACCTAGGCTATATTTGTGAAAACAGAAAGGTATCTGGGATATATTTGTGAATACAGAAAGGTACCTAGGCTATATTTGTGTATACAGAAAGGTACCTTGGGTATATGTGTGAAAACAGAAAGGTACCTAGGCTATATTTGTGAAAACAGAAAGGTATCTGGGGTATATTTGTGAATACAGAAAGGTACCTGGGGTATATTTGTGAAAACAGAAAGGTACCTAGGCTATATTTGTGAAAACAGAAAGGTATCTGGGGTATATTTGTGAATACAGAAAGGTACCTAGGCTGTATTTGTGTATGGGGTGGTAGTGTAATATGTGTAGGAGAAAGCATGTCTCCGAGGGAGTACTAGAGATTGTAAACCCTCACATGAGGGACGTTCCCGAATGTGAGTGTTTACAACCTCTAGTAATCTTGAGGAGACAAGGTTTGTCCAACCTATAAACCGACTCATCTCATAGACAACATTTTTAATTAAATAACTGTAATAAAAACTCTCAAATGTATAACCTGTATCCGAGATGAAATATCGCCTGCAGTCGTGAACTCGGTTCAATGAAACCGGTGACCTCAGCACGTGGGTTTCACAGCTGTGCGAAATTTGCATGTGCGTCTCACAATGGCACGAAATCTGCACGTGCGTCTCGTAGGCTGTTCGTAGTTTTTGTTCTATCAAGGGTTAACAATGATTGTAAGCCCTCCTGCGAGGTGTTAAAATCGTTGTAAGCCCTCCTGCGAGGTGTTACAATTGTTGTAATACCTCCTACGAGGTGTTACCACAATTTCAAAAACTCCATATCAAGTTACACAAACAGACAGTAGGTTAATAACTGGGAATCCAGAATGGTACCTGGGGTTCATCTATGTAGTAGCCATACTGACAACCCCAACAGCATAATTAAAGAGAAACGGAAACACTCCATTGGACAGCTACAATTTCTGTGACAACACGGTCAGATACACGTAAACCATTAGGATCTGTCCTCGTTTTTTTGCAGAAGTATTACAGTTTAGTGCACCATCTAATCCAGTGGTCAGAGGTCAGATAGCAGAGGAGTAGAAATGTCAAGTAAACAACTTTAACAAGTCCACTTATCCAAAGACAAGGTCTACTAGTCCAGATTATCATGATCAGAGACCAATTGTGTTTTTATCACAAAGGGGTCATTTTTACTTCCTGTGAGTTTGGTTTTGACCTTGAATCAGTTTTCATCTCAAAATCAGAACTAGAAAATAAACAAAACACTCACGTCAGTTGGATTGGTCATACTTGCGATGTTCACACTTTTTTAAAGCTCACTACTTACGATTAATATCTTATCAAAATTAACGAAAGGTCTTATACAGGTTGTCTGCAGGCAACTGAAGCTGATATTTTTGTGGTCTGGTGACCTGGGGGTACATGTCTGTATTACGATTCACGGAAGTATATATTTCTGTATACAGAAAGATACCTGAATACGCCTCACGAATATCTGGTTTTGAGCAACCCATGCTTGTCGTAAGAGGTACCTAAGGGGTTTACAGAAATGTACCTTAGCCAATATCAAAATACATAAACTACCGTAGGATGAGTCCATTCTGCCGTAGGGCGCAATGCGTGTAACCGGTTCTCTAGGTATTCTTCACTTCCTGTTTGCCAAACCGCGGATAAATTCAACATGGCAGTTTGGTTCGTCAGGAGGAATTTTTGGATTATCTCATGAAGTTGAATGCCTTTGACAAGGCCGTAATGGTACGCAAGGGTAGGGAGCTGTTGGCCAAAGATCATGTATAAGTAGCACTCGTAATGAGGCGAACCGAAACTACAACCGGTTTCAGTTTTGGGTTGGGGAATATGGACTTGTCCGCCATTTAGGGTACAAGGTACGTTTCTATATTCTAATTTTGGCTAGGATACATTTCTGTGGTAGGCCTACATGTGCTGACAACATCCCTGTAGCACAACTAACTGGATAGAGTGGTCAGACTCGTTGACGCATGTCATTGTATCCCATTGTATCCCAATTGTGTAGATCAAAACTTGTGATGTCAATCACTGGATTGTCTGGTCCAGATTTGATCATTTACAGACTCCTCTCATAATTTTGAGTGTGGCCTTAAACACCAAACAAACCTAGGATACAGCTAAATTAAGTTTGTATGACTGTACAGTCAACACGTCAACAACGCGGTGACCGACGAACGGGAAACCCCGTATCACTTGTCATGAGAAAGAATTACCAGTACAGATATAGTCTCTGATACAAAATACACATTGTACACAAGCTATATGTTAAAAAAACAATAATAAATAACAGTTTTCGATCACGTAACTCGATCTCCAAATGAAAGTGTTATTGTCGGAAGGTTTGCAATCACGAAGGGAGATAAATCTGTTTGGACCCATCACAAATAAACTCAAAACATTATATCGTAATTATTCTTGGGCCACTGTAATCATTTGAGAAGCAGAAAGATGCAACATGCACAAATTACTCAGCTGTTAAAATGTTGAATAATACTAACCTCCGATGTATGCCCCAAAGCAATTCGACGTAATTTTCCCCCGCGGTACTACATCTCTCTCGCGGGTCAGACTGTACTGTTAATAATAGTACTACTATCCTCACGGCGTATATCATTCATGATCAGGAACGTGCGGTTCGCTGGAGTCATTGAGTATAGAAGTTATTTTTTTCCTGTATTTTCTTTTGAGGCAAATCATTTAGTAAAACTTGAATGAAAGCAGTTTTCACGATCGATCTCTGTTTTCACGTTTTTAAATATATTGACGTTTAATTAGCATTTAGAAATTGATACAACCCGTGAAGATCCGGGGTAAAATAGGTCTTCACCAACCCACGCTTGTCGTAAAAGGCGACTATGTTTGTCGTAAGAGCCGACTAAGGTGGACTCAGGTGGTCAGTCTTGATGATTGGTTGATGCATGCCATCGTATCCAAATTGATGCTCATGATGTCAATCAGTGGATTGTCTGGCCCAGATTCGATTATTTACAGACCGCCGTCATTTAGCTGAGTGCGGCGTTAAACAACAAACAAACAAAACAAACAAAAGAAATTGATACAACATGAAGACCTTAAACGTTTTAAAGATCGACAAGGAATTGCGTTAGTTTTAGCGTCACTTAGGGGCTGTTTCACCCCTCACCAGATGAATAAATACCACAGGGAGCTGTTTTAAAAATTCGGAAATGTTGACATCCTCATTTCCATAAACAAAAAAACAAACACAAACACACCGACACAAACACCAACTCACCGCGTCAGGAACTTGAATTGTCGCGTTTACGTTTGATAGTGAAGCTTTTCATTTCCAGACAAAAGATATGACCAGATTAAAGCTGTTATTTGAATAGAAAAGCCCCCGAGAGTTTCATTTTGTAGTGTAGAAAACTTGCAGACCCCAAATCCTCGGAATAGAACGAACTTTTGTTAAAATCGTTTCAACGAAACGGGACTCAATCATATTTGGGACAGCTAATCAATTAAAAACCTAGACTCACTCAAGTATTTTTGTATAAGTTGATTTTAGGGTGTTAGGCCCAGGGTGTTTTAGTGCTAGCCCACTGAGATACCATGCCGCAGTCTAACATGACTACCCCACTCAGAAACAGTCTACTGACTCAGAGGTGACCAGTCCATGTTTTAGCCCTTTATGCTGAGCGCATAACAGGTACCAGATTTGAACGTCTTTTGGTATGACGTGGCCGGGAATCGAACCCCGGACATTTCACCCTCCGAGCGGATGCTCTACCATTAGACCACGGAGGCGGTCTGTTGGCACTTGGTATGTGTATTAGTTATTTGGCATTTAGAAGTTGGATATGTAACTGACAAGATAATCTGCTTGAAAAGGGGTCGCGATTATACACAGAAACGTCGCTATTCAATTGTATCAATTCTCTTTATTCAGGTGGTCGTCGGCCATCGGCCCATATTACATTGTTACAGCAAAAACAGCCGTTTGTCTGCAAGACCGCGAAGATGACTAGCATGAAAGATAAACATTGCAATGTGTCTTATTATGACAGGATTGGTGATACACATTAATGTGTTCAGTTTATACAGGGATGGATGTGTAAAATATTTATCAGGAACATCAATTTTACGTAGGTTATCATAGGCAGTAGACCGCCTCCGTGGTTTAGTGGTAGAGCGTCCGCCCGGAGAGCGGAAGGTCCGGGGTTCCATCCCCGGCCGCGTCATACCAAAAGACGTTAAAAGATGGTACTTGTTGTTACCTTGTCTGGCGCTCGGCATTAAGGGGCTAAAACAAGGACTGGTCGGCTCGGAGTCAGTATACTGTGTGTGAGTGGGGTATTCATGTTAACTGCAGCATGGTATCTCAGTGGGCTAGCACTATAAATCGGCATCAGTCCGGACTAGTACAAGCAGCCACACACACACACGTGCATGCACGTCGCTATATAAGTGCAATAATCTTGGACGCGACGTTAAACCCAATTTCACCTCACCTCACCTCATAGGCAGTACATACCAATAGGAACTGGTATTGGTTTTCTATGTTTCCAAGGGGACACATCTCACATAGTATAAGGCTTCTAGGCTTTTCGTTTATCTTCCCGTTTCTATATTCAGTTGGTGTGAGTTACACCTACATTGAGCCAAAGCAATACGGAAATGGTTCTACGTCAAATACGTTTATAAATAGAGAACAGGAATAAGTTTAAATCTCATTAAAATCAGATTTTAGTTCTCGCTATCGCTAAGCAGCGAGAACTTAGATCTGATTTTAATGAGATTGGAATAAGTTTTTAAGCCTGACGATAGTGAAGCATGCCATTCCTGTAGCTATAAACTCGGCTAAAAGACAGTTGTGTTTATATTGATTGATTGATTTGAATAATTGATAGCTGGGTTGACATTTAAAATGTTCGAATATAAATCTTAATATGACTAGATGAATGAACGAGGTGTAGTTGGAATGTATATATGAATGTTTGAAGGAAAAACAGAACGAGAAAAAATAAAATTAAAATAAATAATATTGGTAAGATTTGAGAATGTTCGTTGAGAATGACGAATATTTGGGAATACATCTGATAATCTTGTGTAAAATAAATACATGGTGAATGGTAAAGTCGTCAGTGATTTCTTCATAATCACTTCTAATGACTGGTGCTGCATTATCCCGATCGCCGTCCATTGTTTTTGTTACTGACAGGTATATTTTTAATGAATTAATACAAGCTGTATTATAGTAATTATATCTTCGTAAGCGTATTGTAAGTACATATGTCGAACGCATAAACTCATCTTAAGAAACCAGGAAATTTTGGCGTCATTTCCGTCAGACGACGTTTGATTGATGATCAGTTGAAACGAAAGTAGTATTTAATATACGTGCGTTATAAACAATATCGGAACCACAGGGTATCTATCATAGTAGCCAGTCGAAGATGCATCGTTCTTTGTAGAGGGTAAGGCAATGTACTCTAAGTACTTTTATTATTCAATGCGCAAACTCAACCTCCATGAACTCACAACGATTTATTACAACAATCGCAATAAACACCGAAACGCACACGAGCGTGTTGAATGCCACTGCGCTTCCGCGATCGTGTAATCTCGAGAATCCTTTGACACTTGCATTACTTCCCTTTGTGACAGTTTCGGTTGGATATTGGCGGTTGTTTCTGAGTCGGTTATTAATAGTACTGTTTGGTTTGTGGGTTTGCGCATTATGCCATGGCAGAAGGAGTATGACTGTTATCCCGTAGCTGCATCATACCATGTTATTAGCATCACTGTGAAAAGAAATCTTGTCATGAAACTCGCAAGCAATTTTGGTCCGATTTGAAGAAAGTCCCAGGTCTGTTTTTACTGGTAACCTGAGTAATAGAAGCATATATATCATGCTTTTGTGTTGGCTTTGAGAGACGATCACTTGTGTTGGTTTGGTTTGGGCACGGAGCTTTATAACTTATACAAGTCCGTGGTTTGGGCAATGGATCACTGGTGTTGGTTGGGATGGTAGATCACTTGTATTGGTTGGATCAGAAGATCACTTGTTTTGGTTGCGATGGTAGATCACTTGTTTTGGTTGCGATGGTAGATCACTTGTGTTGGTTGGGATGGTAGATCACTGGTGTTGGTAGGGACGGTAGAACACTGGTGTTGGTAGGGACGGTAGATCACTGGTGTTGGTAGGGACGGTAGATCACTGGTGTTGGTTGGGACAGTAGATCTCTTGTGTTGGTTGGGACAGTAGATCACTTGTGTTGGCTGCGATGGTAGATCATTTGTGTTGGTTGGGACAGTAGATCACTTGTGTTGGTTGGGACAGTAGATCACTTTTTTTGGTTGGGATGGTAGATCACGTGTGTTGGTTGGGACAGTAGATCACTTGTGTTGGTTGGGACAGTAGATCTCTTGTGTTGGTTTAGACAGTAGATTACTTGTGTTGGTTGGGACAGTAGTTCTCTTGTGTTGGCTGGGACAGTAGATCACTGGTGTTGGTTGGGATGGTAGATCTCTTGTGTTGGTTTTGACAGTAGATCACTTGTGTTGGTTGGGATAGTAGATCTCTTGTGTTGGTTTAGACAGTAGATCACTTGTGTTGGCTGCGATGGTAGATCATTTGTGTTGGTTGGGACAGTAGATCACTTGTGTTGGTTGGGATGGTAGATCACTTTTTTTGGTTGGGATGGTAGATCACATGTGTTGGTTGGGACAGTAGATCACTTGTGTTGGTTGGGACAGTAGATCTCTTGTGTTGGTTTAGACAGTAGATCTCTTGTGTTGGTTGGGACAGTAGTTCTCTTGTGTTGGCTGGGACAGTAGATCACTGGTGTTGGTTGGGATGGTAGATCTCTTGTGTTGGTTTTGACAGTAGATCACTTGTGTTGGTTGGGACAGTAGATCTCTTGTGTTGGTTTAGACAGTAGATTACTTGTGTTGGTTGGGACAGTAGTTCTCTTGTGTTGGCTGGGACAGTAGATCACTGGTGTTGGTTGGGACAGTAGATCATTTGTGTTGGTTTTGACAGTAGATTACTTGTGTTGGTTGGGATGGTAGATCACTTTTTTTGGTTGGGATGGTAGATCACATGTGTTGGTTGGGATGGTAGATCACATGTGTTGGTTGGGACAGTAGATCTCTTGTGTTGGTTTAGACAGTAGATTACTTGTGTTGGTTGGGACAGTAGTTCTCTTGTGTTGGCCGGGACAGTAGATCACTGGTGTTGGTTGGGATGGTAGATCTCTTGTGTTGGTTTGGACAGTAGATCAATTGTGTTGGTTGGGACAGTAGATCTCTTGTGTTTGTTGGGACGGTAGATCACTTGTGTTGGTTGGGACAGTAGATCACTTGTGTTTGTTGGGATGGTAGATCACTTTTTTTGGTTGGGATGGTAGATCACGTGTGTTGGTTGGGACAGTAGATCTCTTGTGTTGGCTGGGACAGTAGATCACTTGTGTTGGTTGGAACAGTAGATCACTTGTGTTGGTTTGGACAGTAGATCTCTTGTGTTGGCTGGGACGGTAGATCACTGGTGTTGGTTGGAACAGTAGATCTCTTGTGTTGGTTTGGACAGTAGATCACTTGTGTTGGTTGGGACAGTAGATCACATGTGTTTGTTGGGACAGTAGATCACTTGTGTTTGTTGGGACAGTAGATCTCTTGTGTTGGTTGGGACAGTAGATCTCTTGTGTTGGTTGGGACAGTAGATCACTTGTGTTTGTTGGGACAGTAGATCTCTTGTGTTGGTTGGGACAGTAGATCACTTGTGTTGGCTGCGATGGTAGATCATTTGTGTTGGTTGGGACAGTAGATCACTTGTGTTGGTTGGGACAGTAGATCACTTTTTTTGGTTGGGATGGTAGATCACGTGTGTTGGTTGGGACAGTAGATCACTTGTGTTGGTTGGGACAGTAGATCTCTTGTGTTGGTTTAGACAGTAGATTACTTGTGTTGGTTGGGACAGTAGTTCTCTTGTGTTGGCTGGGACAGTAGATCACTGGTGTTGGTTGGGATGGTAGATCTCTTGTGTTGGTTTTGACAGTAGATCACTTGTGTTGGTTGGGATAGTAGATCTCTTGTGTTGGTTTAGACAGTAGATCACTTGTGTTGGCTGCGATGGTAGATCATTTGTGTTGGTTGGGACAGTAGATCACTTGTGTTGGTTGGGATGGTAGATCACTTTTTTTGGTTGGGATGGTAGATCACATGTGTTGGTTGGGACAGTAGATCACTTGTGTTGGTTGGGACAGTAGATCTCTTGTGTTGGTTTAGACAGTAGATCTCTTGTGTTGGTTGGGACAGTAGTTCTCTTGTGTTGGCTGGGACAGTAGATCACTGGTGTTGGTTGGGATGGTAGATCTCTTGTGTTGGTTTTGACAGTAGATCACTTGTGTTGGTTGGGACAGTAGATCTCTTGTGTTGGTTTAGACAGTAGATTACTTGTGTTGGTTGGGACAGTAGTTCTCTTGTGTTGGCTGGGACAGTAGATCACTGGTGTTGGTTGGGACAGTAGATCATTTGTGTTGGTTTTGACAGTAGATTACTTGTGTTGGTTGGGATGGTAGATCACTTTTTTTGGTTGGGATGGTAGATCACATGTGTTGGTTGGGATGGTAGATCACATGTGTTGGTTGGGACAGTAGATCTCTTGTGTTGGTTTAGACAGTAGATTACTTGTGTTGGTTGGGACAGTAGTTCTCTTGTGTTGGCCGGGACAGTAGATCACTGGTGTTGGTTGGGATGGTAGATCTCTTGTGTTGGTTTGGACAGTAGATCAATTGTGTTGGTTGGGACAGTAGATCTCTTGTGTTTGTTGGGACGGTAGATCACTTGTGTTGGTTGGGACAGTAGATCACTTGTGTTTGTTGGGATGGTAGATCACTTTTTTTGGTTGGGATGGTAGATCACGTGTGTTGGTTGGGACAGTAGATCTCTTGTGTTGGCTGGGACAGTAGATCACTTGTGTTGGTTGGAACAGTAGATCACTTGTGTTGGTTTGGACAGTAGATCTCTTGTGTTGGCTGGGACGGTAGATCACTGGTGTTGGTTGGAACAGTAGATCTCTTGTGTTGGTTTGGACAGTAGATCACTTGTGTTGGTTGGGACAGTAGATCACATGTGTTTGTTGGGACAGTAGATCACTTGTGTTTGTTGGGACAGTAGATCTCTTGTGTTGGTTGGGACAGTAGATCTCTTGTGTTGGTTGGGACAGTAGATCACTTGTGTTTGTTGGGACAGTAGATCTCTTGTGTTGGTTGGGACAGTAGATCTCTTGTGTTGGTTGGGACAGTAGATCACTTGTGTTGGTTTGGAAAGTAGATCACTTGTGTTGGTTTGGACAGTAGATCACTTGTGTTGGTTGGGATGGTAGATCACTTGTGTTGGTTGCGACAGTAGATCACTTGTGTTTGTTGGGACAGTAGATCACTTGTGTTGGTTGGGATGGTAGATCACTTGTGTTAGTTGGAACAGTAGATCTCTTGTGTTTGTTGGGACAGTAGATCTCTTGTGTTTGTTGGGACAGTAGATCTCTTGTGTTGGTTGGGACAGTAGATCTCTTGTGTTGGTTGGGACAGTAGATCTCTTGTGTTGGTTTGGACAGTAGATCACTGGTGTTTGTTGGGACTGTAGATCTCTTGTGTTGGTTGGGACAGTAGATCTCTTGTGTTGGTTGGGACAGTAGATCTCTTGTGTTGGTTTGGACAGTAGATCACTGGTGTTGTATGGAACAGTAGATCTCTTGTGTTGGTTTGGACTTGTGTGGGCGTTTGACAGTAGATCTCTGGTGTGGGTTTGGACAGTAGATCACTGGTGTTGGTTGGAACAGTAGATCTCTTGTGTTGGTTTGGACTTGTGTGGGCGTTTGACAGTAGATCTCTGGTGTGGGTTGGAACAGTAGATCTCTTGTGTTGGTTGGGACTTGTGTGGGCGTTTGACAGTAGATCTCTGGTGTGGGTTGGAACAGTAGATCTCTTGTGTTGGTTGGGACTTGTGTGGGCGTTTGACAGTAGATCTCTGGTGTGGGTTGGAACAGTAGATCTCTTGTGTTGGTTGGGACTTATGTGGGCGTTTGACAGTAGATCTCTGGTGTGGGTTGGAACAGTGGGTCACAAGGAATACTTAGGTGCTGGGGGTGGGGGGTTCCTCCACCTAGTTGGGGTGGGGGTGGGGTGGGGTTGGGGTGGTTCCTCCACCTTGTTCGGATGGGGTTGGGGTGGGGGTGGTTCCTCCACCTAGTTCGGATGGGGTTGGGGTGGGGGTGGTTCCTCCACCTAGTTCGGGTGGGGGTGGGGATGGGGTGGGGGGTGGTTCCCCCACCTAGTTCCTAGGGCTGTTCCTCCACCTGGTTGCTAGGGCTGGTTCCTCCACTTAGTTTCTGGGTTGGTTCCTCCACCTAGTTCCTGGGGGTGGTTCCTCCTCTTAGTTCTTGGGAAGGTTACTGCAATTAGCTTCATGAGGGTGGGGGGGGGGGGGGGGGTCCTCCACCTAGTTCTTGGGAAGGTTACTGCACTTAGTTCCTCTACCTAGTTCCTGGGGGTGGTTCCTCCACCTCGTTCTTGGGAAGGTTACTGCACTTAGCTTAATGGGGTTGTTCCTCAACTCTGTTCCTGGGGGTGGTTCCTCCACCTCGTTCTTGGGAAGGTTACTGCACTTAGCTTAATGGGGTTGTTCCTCAACTCTGTTCCTGGGGGTGGTTCCTCCACCTCGTTCTTGGGAAGGTTACTGCACTTAGCTTAATGGGGTTGTCATCAACTCAGTTCCTGGGGGTGGTTGCTCCACCTCGTTCTTGGGAAGGTTACTGCACTTAGCTTAATGGGGTTGTCATCAACTCAGTTCCTGGGGGTGGTTCCTCCACCTTTGTTCTTTGGAAGGTTACTGCACTTAGCTTAATGGGGTTGTTCCTCAACTCAGTTCCTGGGGGTGGTTCCTCCACCTTTGTTCTTTGGAAGGTTACTGCACTTAGCTTAATGGGGTTGTTCCTCAACTCAGTTCCTGGGGGTGGTTCCTCCACCTCATTCTTGGGAAGGTTACTGCACTTAGCTTAATGGGGTTGTTCCTCAACTCAGTTCCTGGGGGTGGTTCCTCCACTTCGTCCTTGGGGAGCCTTCTTCCCAACAAACATTACAAACCCTTCTGAATCTGAAGAGGAGAGACTAGGCATGATTGTATTAACTGTAAAGAATACATCATTGGCGGACATAGCCAATTAATTCCACTTCTTTTGTTCCTAGGAAGAGGAAGAAGTAGGATGGAGAAGCAATATTCCCAGGAGTTCTTTGCTTCCTTTGTGGAGCAGCTTCAACAGGTGTGTCGGAATTATTTAAACTTCAGTCAGTTTGTGGAGGTCAGTGGCTATGTGTGTGTGGAGATTGACAACATGAAGAAGGAGAGATACGTCCTCAGTGAACTGCTACAGAGCAGTGGTAATGTGGTCAGTGAGAGCTACTGCACGAAGGCATTCAAAACGTTAGGAAATACAAAGAATGTGTCCTTGTCAGGTATGAGTGCAAGACAAGGGGTCCCATTACATCCTAGGACCAATTTCAATAGAAACAATTCAAACTATGGACAGAGTAACCAAAGAACAGTTCTAAATCAAATTGTGTCTGGTGGGCATGGACAAAGATCTGAATTCTCTACCAGAATTGAACAAGTTCCATCCAGACAACTCGGCCATGGCGTCATGAATGATGAGGACAATGGAAGCAGTTCAAGTGTTCTCAGTAGAGGCAGTGTATCTGCTGGCAGAAATTCTCAGTCAAGGGTTCCATTTTCCCAGTTAAAACAGACTTCACACAGAAATGTTCCAGTGCAGCACAACAGACAATATGTGAATGCTGATACAGCTAGTGTTCAAGGCCAAAGATTGTTGCAGACCTCCAGTGCAGAAAGGCCAAGAACAAGACCATCACCTTTACACAGCAACCACACTAATAGTTCAGCGTCTACGCTTAGTGATGCTTCAGATCTTCCCGATATTGAAGTCAAAGGTGAGGAGGTTCAAGTGACATTGCCTCAGTTTGTCAGTCTGGACAATACAAGATCTGGGCACATGCATCCCCAAAATAATAACGCACAGCACAGCTTATCATCCAGCAGTTCTCCTGCTCGTGCTGAAGGACGAGCAGCTGTCTGGTCAACGCCTCTGTCCTCCATGTCCACTGTGAATGATGATGATGATGATGAAATCATAGATCTGGATTTGTTTGAAGATGATTTAGAGGAAAGTCTGACAAATGAACCTTTCTCCATGGAGGATGACTCGAGAGACGTGACTGCTTCAGCTGCCTATCAGAGTGCGAGCGTTCCTTCCTGTGTTGTCCAGAAGAGTTCAAGTGGTATGAGTCCTGGGTCCAAGCATGTCATGAAGTCGGCCATTAAGCAGTTCCAGAGGTACCACTCTGACAAGTGTGGCCAGGACATCGATCTGTGGGCCACTCCTCCTGAACAGCTGAATGACCTTCTGCTGGACTTCTACCAAGGTGGGAGAACACTCAATGGCAAAGAACTTACGCCAGGATCACTGAAAAACGTACAGATATACCTGGACAAATATCTGCGGGAGGGAGGATACCCGTTTTCACTTTCAAAGGATGAGCACTTCAAAACATCAAGAGATTTTATCAAGGCAAAAGTTCACGAAAATAGTAAATTTGTGGTAGCTCAGAGACATATTCCAGTGAATGACATGGACATTGAAATTCTATTTCAAACTCGTCAGCTTGGATCACACAGCCCTGAGTCTGTTATCAATACAATGTGGGTTCTCAATTCCAAATTCTTTGCTATTAGACGACCTTCTGAACATTTCAACCTGAAATGGGGGGACATTGCCCTGAAAATGGACGACCAAGGTCACGAGTACCTGGAGAGACAGACCAAAGGCTATGAGACATTTGCTCTCCGAGTATTTGCAAATTCAGATATTGCTGAAAGGTGTTTTGTCAATGTGTACAAGCAGTACAAGGTATCTCGACCCAAGCTGATGCTTGATGAATCAAGTGCCTTCTATCTGAAGGGCAACAAGTCACCTGTGATTGATGTGTGGTTTCTCCCGGACTCAATGTCTTGGTGCTCGCTCATCAACTTGTGGAAGAAGATGGTCACCGGGAGTGGGCTGCCAGTTAATAAGAAAATATTCTAGGTTGGTGATGAGGCAAGGATGGAAATTAACTTGAAACAGAGTTTTGTCCCAGTATGATAACATTTTAATATAAAATGTCAATGGCAGAAAATAACCAGTCTTGATGGGGGCCGGGGGGCCCAGTCGTCTAAGACACTGTGATTGGCTGTGCAGAGTTGCGTCCCTTGGGCATGCCAGAAACCTATGATTGTGGGTTCGAACCCCGGTTTGCCCCAATTATGTTTCTAGGTTTGTCAACACCATACCTGTGCTCGTGGGTTTCACAGAAGTGGTAAACGTCTGAGACCTGCATCACTTCAGGCTATCCTCCCACATTAAGCTAACATGCCGCAATATAACTGGAATACTGTTAAAAGCGGCGTTAAACCAAACTAATTCACTAGTCTTGATTTCAAGCCAAAATTCGAATTAGCATAAAATGCAATGTAGTGGTGAACATTGTATGAATGGATCACTGGAAATCAGTGGTGTCACCACCATTAGATGAACTGATTTCAGCTGGCGGGCTAGTAAACTTCCTGTGCCTCGTGTGATGCAAGTATAGTGACTGTTATATCCCATCTGGTTGGTTCAGTATCAAAGCTAGATTCCAGGATGAAGTGCCACAATATATTGGTGATATTTGTCATTGATCCCATGTTTTTTGCATTGGATACAGGATATTGAGTTGCACCATGAAATTATTGCGGGTAGGTGACAATATCCTAAACTGTGACAGTGTGTGGAAGGTTTTGTGACACCATGGTGATGAGAATCTGCATTTGCACTTGTTATTTTTTATGAGTAGGAAGTTAGCTCAGTGTCAGTCAGTGCTTTTAACTACAGATGGACGTGTTGTTGTAGTTGACAGTGAAGGTTGGAGTAGCATTTATGTCTAACAGTAGTTTTATAAGGCTGTCTGGACTTCTCCGTGTTATGTGAGGAAATCTATGACGTGTGGCAGGATGGGGATTAGACTATTGACACTGGATGACAAAAGGTATTAAGGAAACAGGATTTATTTATTTAATCATGTTCTGGCTGGTTTGACAATGTGTGAAAGTGAATTAACAAAATATGCCTCCTTACGTCTTTTTGTCTCCAAAATTTACTGCCTCGTGAAGCTATTGCAAGTGTGTGTTGCTCACAGTGTTTGCAGAACTTTCCTGCTCCCAATACTTGCCAGATTTACAGTATTTGGTTTGCCACTCTTTGTTTGCAGAGGAAAAATAAAGAAACATGTTAAATCCACGGTCAGCTATCATGCCTTTTCTGTTCAGTTGTGACCGTTGCATAAGTTCTGTACCCACAAGATCGCAAACATCACGTGCAACCATCGGTTTCATTTTGAGACCAGTGTAGCTAGTTGTGTTTGCACGTTGGCTCCTCGTTGGTGTTGAATTATTTATGTCTTAGAAAGACCATAAAAGTGTGCATTTATGAAAATAATACACTCAGGCACTCCTCGCCCTTCGTGTGTTACACTAAAGAAAATGCACATGTAACTGGACATTTGTTAGAAATAATTTATGAGGCCGCAAATTATTTGTGCGTTATCTGACCTAAAATCAACATCAAAGTAACAAAAAACTGGGTAATCAGAGTTAAAATACAGCCTGAAAGTTAAAATAAATCAGTAGATAAGGGAAAATAAATACAACACAAATATGTTGCACGTAAATTTCATGCACTACATTGGTAATGCAGTTTGTGTGATTTGCTTTGCTTGGCCAATCCTTTCAGCTGAAACATCTACAGCTGAAACATCTACAGCTGAAACATCTACAGCTGAAACATCTACAGCTGAAACATCTACAGCTGAAACAATAGATTGACGTCAAAAGCTGTCCTTTAGTTTTCACAAATGCATGCTATTTGGTTCTCTCTTTGTGATATACTAAGCATGAATGAGTGTGGTTTAGGCCTGTTTTGGATATATTGCAGTCATATTTCGGCAGGGAATACCAACCATTGTCGGGAAAAAAGCCTTTGTTGCGGTGTGACGATGATTTAATCCTTCAAAGGCTACCTTTTGAGAAGCCACATATGAATATGCAATTTGTTTGATCCCCTTTCCAAAGCAGCATTGATACATCGTTACTATTCTTCATCATTGAACTGCGGACATGGATAGCCCAGTCATCTAAGGCCCCGCCATTCTCTGTGCAGAGTTACCTCCCTTGGGCGCTCCAGAAACCTAGGATTGTGGGTTCAAATAGTTGTAGGTTTCACTAAAGTGGTAAACTTCTAAGACAGGTATCACTTCGGGCTTTCCTCCAACATTAAGCTGACATGCCGTGATATAACTGGAATACTGTTTGGAGCGGCATTAAACCCAACACACTCACTCACTCATCATTCAACCTTGTCATTTGATCCCAGGGCAAACAGTAGCATAATGTTGCAAATATTTTGAATATTTTAGTTTTAATCACTGTTGTTCAGTCAAATTGTGTTCAAATTGCTGTACAAGAATACAGATGTGCCCTGTATCGTTTCTTAGCAACAAAGCCACAGCTCCTTCTCTTCTCTCTCTTCCCCCCCCCCCCAAGATTGTCATAACAAAGGCAGATAACTCTTAACATATTTCCATGGCATTGCTAAAAAATTGCACCATAATGTGTTCTCTTTACCTGACTCTGTTGGGTCTTATGCCACCTTAATTATTTCTCCGTAATTGTTAGGAGCCTGTAATCTGACTTTATCTTTATACTTGATGTATAGGTCTTCAGCAACCCATGCTTGCTGTAACAGGCGACTATGCTTGTCGTAAGAGGTGACTAACGGGATCGTATGGTCAGGCTCGCTGACTTTGTTGATGCATGGCATCGTATCCCAATGGGGTGGCTCAATGCTCATGATGTCAATCACTGGATTGTCTGGTCCAGACTTGAATTTTTACAGACCGCCATGATATAGCTGGAATATTGCTGGGTGCAGCGTTAAACAACAAACAAACAAAACAAACAAACAAAAACTTGATGTATAGAATATTTACATTATGTCTCAGTCAAAATAAATGTTATATTTTCAATGATGTTTTACCTATGTGAGAAGTTAATAAATAATAACACTTGCTGTGTTCTGATGGAGGAAAATGGATGAGCCTTTGTGGTATTCTTTTGTTGTTGCAATGTCCCTATTGTTGTTATACCTCACAGGTTTTTGACCAATGAATCAAGCAAAGGCCGGTTTCCAAGGAGATTGAAGATAGCCATTGCATTGGCTACAGGCTTCACTTCAACATCATTAGTGAACAGACCGCCTCAGTGGTCTAGTGGTAGAGGGGCTAAAACAAGGACTGGTCGGCTCGGAGTCAGTATACTGTGTCTGAGTGGGATATTCATGTTAAACTGCAGCATGGTATCTCAGTGAGCTAGCACTATAAATCGGCATCAGTCCGGACTAGTACAAGCAGCCACACAAACACACACACATACATGCCAGTCGCTATATAAGTGCAATAATCTTGGACGTGACGTTAAACCCCATTTCACCTCACCACGTCACCTGAGTATTACACATGCCCTGTCTATACAACTGTATTTAGGGGAGCATGAATGCATTAGCAGATGAAAATAGGGTACATCCACAACAAGGAACTGAGGAAGGGTCAATCGTGCATTGATGGCTCATGGCAGTGTGTTATATCTGCTTCTTCTTAATCAGTTAGCATCCTTCATACCAGGCCTGGATGGCCCAGTCGTCTAAGGCGCAACAATTCACTGTGAGTTATGTCCCATGGGCACGCTAGAAACCTGCTATTGCCGGTTAAATCCCAGACTAGTACAAGCAGCCACACAAACACACAAACACGTACATGCCCGTTGCTATATAAGTGCAATAATCTTGGACGCGACGTTAAACCCATTCCACCTCACCTCACCTCACCTCACCTCATTAGTGAACAACCAGGTTGTGAGACTGTAACCATCACAAACTGCTGTGTGGGGGAGTGATATGTTTGTGTTCTGCTGCTGTCAAAACTGCTCATAAGTTACCACGTCTGGACTAGATTATGGATTCCAAATCCATTTGTCTATATGTTTGGAGAAATGGAATGTATGCATTACTCTGAACCACTGTCAAGATGGCATTCAATATTCATCAACGCTACTATGATGTATTGACTCAGCTGAGAGTTGTCTCCCCTTGAAATCCATATTTAGTGGCAATTGTCACAACTAAATTCCCAAGCTCTGTTCCAGCACGTGACCCCTTGCAGTATCATTGCGGACACCAGTCAGGATGCAGCCATTACAAGAATTCATCTTCAAATTCTAATCAGTCACTGTGGGTGAATTGTTTTCAACATCTTCTTGTCCTTGGAATACCAAAAGTCGACAGCAGTATTGGTGACTTGCTACTTTGTTTGCAAATAGACAAAGACACATTTTGACGTTTATATGTTTAATACAAATATTCAACACAAACTGTATTCCTTGCCATACAGTTACAAGTCATTGGTGAATATATTGTTTGACAACATGCAGGTACCACATACATCCAGTACAGACCCAGCCCTGGCACAGACTCCAACTACTGGTGGAATATTTGATCAAACCCTTACTCTGATGTGACATACCCCTCACACAGAGCCATCGTCTCGGCATAAAATTCTGATTTAATAAGATTGTCAAATAATCCTCTTTAAATTAAACTTGATAATGACTTAGAACTTAATTTAACCAATTAAAAAGTAAAATCAACTTTTCTCATCTGAGCTTTGACATGTACAAAACATCTTGTGTTGGGGTATATACCTCTTGGTGAGTGAGTATGGGTATAACGCCGCTTCAAACAGTATTTCAGTTATATGACATTGATGTGGGAGGAAAGTTAGAATGGAAGAAGATCTTAGATGTTATCACTTTGGAGAAACACAATTACGGGTTTGGCGCTGACAAACCTTGAACCTGAGCAAACGAGGGTTCAAACCCATGATTAATGGCTTCTGTTGGGTATTTGGTGCCTTAGACAACTGGGCGGCCAACCATGCCTGACTAAAAGCAGTATTTTACTTATCATGATACGCCAGTTTGATGCGAGAGGTGAAGCCAAAAGTGTCGCGTGTTGTGACTTGGTGAAAACCAAGTCTGATGCAGAAAAACAAAAACACGACAGTCAGGTAAATATGGGATTAAACATATGGCCAGCAGATCCATCAAATAAGGGACACAACTCTGCCACCCCAACACCATAGACATCAGAACAAGTTGTAAAGGGAATAGTGTCTGCCAGTTTGACCAGTGCCAGTGCCAGACTCAAGACTGTACACGGATGTATTCCCTTTCATGACACAAACTGACTGACTGACTGTATGAGGAATGACACGCTTGAAGCTGACCATCACTGTCTCCACGGAGTACTAATGGCGCAACGGAAGTGACGACAGATGGAGAATAGACTATCGTGATGAGTATTCACAAACATGTATACAGACAGACACTGACGCATCACTGAACAAGGCTACGCACTTAAGGACTGATCCTGATGATGCCATGTTAACATTGTCACAGAGTCCTGGTAATATGGACTGTAGGAGCTATCCTCGGATAAGTCAGTTGGAACATATTTTGCAAGGTCGTGAAATTGAATTTCACCTACGATGACCTAAGCTGTTTCAGTGAGCTTTGTCTCGATTAATACAGTAGATGAGTAAGCTTGTATACTTAGAACAGTATTTCAGTAATATCACAACATGTGAGCTTTAAATGGGAGGAAATCCTGAAATGCAGGTCCTCGACATATACAACTTTGAAGAAACCCACAAGCACGGGTATGGTGCTGAACTAGAAACATGATCAGGACGACAGGATTCAAACCACATAGTTTTATGGCATATCTAAGGGACACAACTCTGTACAAGAATCTGCTGTGCCTCAGAAGGCTGTGTATGAGGACATGCAAGAGTTGTCTTTCCTGGTGTTAATCACCCACAGTCCCATTGTAGACTCTGAATTAGAAAGAAAATGTTCTGAAGTTTGCAAGAGACACACTCACAGGGAATATCTTGCTGGGAAATATCGATCTAAACTTTAGATCGATATTTCCCGGCAAGATATTCCCTGTGGCAGTTCATTACCTCAAATATTACTTTAGATTCTAAAGTAATATTTGAGGTAATGAACTGCCACTTTTCAGACCTGATCTGCACAATATTTTCCAATTTTGATAAGAAGCATTTGAAAACAAGCTAAAGGTACAAAAAAAATTGATTTACTTTCTGTATTAAATGATAGTTTCAGCATATATAGTAATGGTTGATGGCTATTGGTGCTTAAGGGTTGTTTTATGTGAAATCGGGAAAATCGGGAAAATCTGGACTGAGTGAACACGGTGTTTTAACAAAAACTCTTTACATTTGAATGCCAAATATGTCCAAAGATTTGAGTGTATTTATACCTTTTGTATTGCCAATGCTTCTTGATAAAAGCTGGCTCAAATAATTTTCTTTCTATTTCAGAACTACATAATCATTCCCAATGGACATGTATACAACAAACATGAAGACAAATTTAATGCCACAATCTTTATGAAGGGACAAACATTTGAATCAAAACCAAATTCCTATGGGTAACTAATGCGTAACAGTGTACCTTAAGCTTCTATAACAGTCTTTCTCCATCTGTTCAATGAGCTATGTACAAAGCTTGCTACTAGTGAACAGGGTCGTCTCTACAAGCAGCTGGATTAAATGTCTGCCAGTGATACAATGAAACATGACCGTGAATATCCTCAGAAAACAAGTTTTTTCTCTTTGACTCTGATAAACCATCATCAAAGCCCATATTGTATTAAAAGTAAGTTTACAATACACCAAAACATAAATTTAACCATTGAAATATAAGAAACGCACTTAATGTCATGTACATGAATACTTGTTAACATTATCATCAATAAAGTACTGAAAAACAGTTAAGGACCACGCGATTCATTCATATTACTAGAGTGAGTGAGTGAGTATGGTTTTACGCCGCTTTTAGCAATATTCCAGCAATGTCACGGCGGGGGACACCAGAAATGGGTTTCACACATTGTACCCATGTCGGGAATCGAACCCGGGTCTTCGGCGTGACGAGCGAACACTTTAACCACTGGGCTACCCGACCGCCCCCATATTACTATAGTTCATGGCAGATTAACTATAGTAATATGAAAGAATCAGTGGCCCTCAACTTTTTCCAGTAGTATATGAACATCGTAGATAGGGTGTATTTATTCAGCCTAACTAAAAGTTCATAAAAACAAAGATCAAGGTCACATTAACGGCAGAGTGACGAAATAAATCAAAGAATTCAGGAAGTTGTTATTTTTGCTTGCTAAGTTCATTAAGTCAAAGGGAAAAAATAACTAAATAAACACTAATGAGGAAAAGTGAAATATTTTACCACGAACCACAGCAGCAACAGTCACTGTGATACAAAGAAAACTGAAACGGCTCCATGTAACCAAACCATTATATACCGACAAATAAAGTTCAGGACCATGAATATTTTAGGGGATATCTTTTTGTAGTGAAGACTGACAACACATTTCACAGAGATATCCTCCCAGAAAGTCATGATCCCTAACATGTTCAGTATAGGTTGGCATAATGGGTGCACCAAGTCATCGACACCAACGCCGACGTCAACCTGACGGCTGGTGTTGTACATGACGTCACTCCTGCTATTCACAGTATATGTACACGGCACAAATATACAGCAATTGTTGCTAATTCCATGAACGACATGACTGTCTTCCCACCCAGTACATCGACAATCCAGTGATCATAGATTTGGAAGAATTCTTGATACTAGGCATTCCCACAAAGTAACCAATCACATCAGGCTCATGTGAGAGTAATCATTTGATTGGCTGTTGTTCTGATGCACTTTCATGTTCTAATGAACCGTACTCGCTAGTGTCCGTGCCAGTCTTGTCTCCATCAAGTTAGCATTGCTACTCTACATAATGATAGAAGTTCTGGGATTGGTTGGTAGATATCGGCCCTTGCCATCCAGAGCTTATGCTGTTTTTCAATTTAACTGTTTGCAATTTCAGACTTTTTCATTGGAAAACACAATTGTGTACACAACTACCCGGGTTAAGCCCACTGAGTTGGCAACCACAGATTATTGAGCCCCACGCTGTTGCGCCAACAAGACAACCCCCCTCGTGAGACTGGTAAGGCTGGCCAAAAAGATCAATAATCAGAAGGGAAGAAATAGTTATGATTATCAATATGAAAATTGTATCATTGATAATATCTCACATAAACTATTGTGATGAAATAAAGTTTTAATTCACCGGAGCAGACTTGTCTTGTCCATTGCCAAAGACGGAGAGCAACTGACTTTGTTATACATGTATCTTAAATGTCCACAAAGTAATCCATGCATAAATGTGTTGTTTTGTCTCTGAGCTTTTTGCATATTTGCTAAAAGTTACTTCTCCGATATTTATTTTTAATAATTGATTGATATTTAGTTTACAATTGTCAATCTCTAAGATCTACATTGATAGGCAGCTTGTTCGGGCAACAACCACATATTGGGTCGCTGTTGTGGCTACTAGACAACCACCCTAGTCAGGCAACAACCACATATTGGGTCGCTGTTGTGGCTACTAGACAACCACCGTAGTCAGGCGACCAACCACATATTGGGTCGCTGTTGCTGCTACTAGACAACCGCCCTAGTCAGGTGACCAACCACATATTGGGTCGCTGATGTGGCTACTAGACAACCACCCTATTTAGGCGATCAAACACATATTGGATCGCTGTTGTGGCTACTAGACAACCACCCTAGTCAGGCGATCAAACACATATTGGATCGCTGTTGTGGCTACGAGGTCGACTGGGGCAGGCAACCACAGCATACAGGTTTGGTTCTATGAAGGGGTTCTTCATGCAGAGAGCTATCATATTGCTGCAACAGATCTGGACCCACTTGCACAAAGCGATCTTAGCGCTAAGATGATCGTAACTCCATACTTAACATAGGCTTATGATAGTCTTAGTGCTAAGATCGCTTTGTGCAAGTGAGCCCTGATCTTTAAGAGTGAGTGAGTGAGTTGGTTTAACACCGCTTTTAACAGTATTCCAGTTATATCACAGCGTGTCAGCTTAATGTGGGAGGAAGGCCCGAAGTGATGCAGGTCTCAGACGTTTACCACTTCGGTGAAACCCACGAGCACGGGTATGGTGCTGACAAACGTAGAAACATAGTCGGGGAGAACCGGGATTTGAACCTACAATCATCACCACCCAAGGGCGCAACTCTGCACAGTGAATCATGGTGCCTCAGACGACTGGGCTACCCGTGCCCCCCTGATCTTATAGAGGATGGAGACAGTCTGACAAAGACTCCTGTCACTGTCTGGCTTGAACACCCACTGTACCATCACCCCTAGGACACCGCCTACACTAAGGAGTTAACAGTGTCTGGTCATAAAGACATCAAGGATTGCTGTTAAAAATACAACCAAAGTGGCCAACAACACAGTGGCAAAATAAATAAACACATTCCCGTTGTTAGGAACAACATCTACACAAAAAGCACTTTCGTCACAAATGACGTGAAGGCACCTGCCTCGGTTAAAAACAGTTACAATAAAACCAGTTCAGAAATATACACACTATACAGTATTTTTTTTTCATTCTCAAAATTAAGATCTAGAATATGTTAATCCCCAATTGACAAGAACATGCATCTTCATCGTTGTGGGTTCTGTATACACTTCACCCCTCCAGGACACGGCCCAAATTTTTCATAGTGACGCACCATGGGAACTGAACAATGCCTTTACATAACTGACCAATCAAATAACCTGGGTGAACCAAAAGAGAGGGAATAATATTCAGACCAATCAAGTGATGACTCATCACGAAGCAGTTAAGCTTGTCAATGTTCGGTAAAGTTACCCAGAAAATAATACCATTTGAGGTAACTTCCTTGATTATCCAGTGTATGCGATTTACATTTTATTATGAAATACCCCTTGGACCCTGTTGGCAAAATATCTTTGTTTTGAGTTTAATTGACAACGCCAAAAACTGACATTAAAGGGTTGGAGGCGAATGGGTAAAGGGTATTATCGTAATATACTACTCAAAAGAAGTTAAGGATCACCTGATTCTTTCATATTGGTAATGTTAATCTGTCATGGCATGAGAGATTAACTATTGTAATATGAAAGAATCAGGTGACCCTAAACTTCTTTTGAGTAGTATAGAATAGAAGTTCAATATCTGGACATTGGTGGATGCAGAGACAAGTGACCTTGGTTTCCTGTGTCTGTTATTTAGCACGTACACAGGCAGAAACCTTTCATTGGTTCTGAGACAAGCCACGACGTTAACCACAAGGCTACCCCCTGCCCAGGTAGATACAGCGCCCTGAAGGCACGTCCACACGACAGTCCTCGCTAGTGCCAGGATTCACTGCAGCCATCTGTACTGAGCTACAAGTGTAGTAACCACAAGGCTACCCCCTGCCCAGGTAGATACAGCGCCCTGAAGGCACGTCCACACGACAGTCCTCGCTAGTGCCAGGATTCACTGCAGCCATCTGTACTGAGCTACAAGTGTAGTAACCACAAGGCTACCCACTGCCCAGGTAGATACAGCGCCATGATGGGACGTCCACACGACAGTCCTCGCTAGTGCCAGGATTCACTGCAGCCATCTGTACCGAGCTACAAGTGTAGTAACCGCAAGGCTAACCACTGCCCAGGTAGATACAGCGCCATGATGGGACGTCCACACGACAGTCCTCGCTAGTGCCAGGATTCACTGCAGCCATCTGTACCGAGCTACAAGTGTAGTAACCACAAGGCTACCCCCTGCCCAGGTAGATACAGCGCCCTGAAGGCACGTCCACACGACAGTCCTCGCTAGTGCCAGGATTCACTGCAGCCATCTGTACTGAGCTACAAGTGTAGTAACCACAAGGCTACCCACTGCCCAGGTAGATACAGCGCCATGATGGGACGTCCACACGACAGTCCTCGCTAGTGCCAGGATTCACTGCAGCCATCTGTACCGAGCTACAAGTGTAGTAACCGCAAGGCTAACCACTGCCCAGGTAGATACAGCGCCATGATGGGACGTCCACACGACAGTCCTCGCTAGTGCCAGGATTCACTGCAGCCATCTGTACTGAGCTACAAGTGTAGTAACCACAAGGCTACCCACTGCCCAGGTAGATACAGCGCCATGATGGGACGTCCACACGACAGTCCTCGCTAGTGCCAGGATTCACTGCAGCCATCTGTACTGAGCTACAAGAGTGGTAACCACAAGGCTACCCACTGCCCAGGTGGATACAGCGCCATGATGGGACGTCCACACGACAGTCCTCGCTAGTGCCAGGATTCACTGCAGCCATCTGTACTGAGCTACAAGAGTGGTAACCACAAGGCTACCCACTGCCCAGGTAGATACAGCGCCATGATGGGACGTCCACACGACAGGCCTCGCTAGTGCCAGGATTCACTGTAGCCATCTGTACCGAGCTACAAGTCCTTACATGCAACAGCTTGATTTGACTGGCTGGATATTTACTAATTACACAATATGAAACATTAAGCCGGAGGATGGAGGTGCACACTGGAACCTGATTAACGAGGAGGGAACATGCTGCACACATGTAATCGTAACTCTTTCCAGACATCACCACATCACTGTCTCCACGACACTATCATGCTGTCCAGTAGAAACATCACTCCTTCAGGGAACCAAGGTGGATTTACTTCTAATAATGTGCTTTACTGATCTGCCAACCCTAAACATCAGGAATGTGCAAAAACATAAAATGTCAGCTTGAAGCTTTTTTTGAATACTGACGAGCCTGATAATCACTCAAAAACATAATAATCTCAAATTGTTATGTGTGACTGTGACAAATGACAGATGCTTAAAGACCAATAAATGTATGCTCAAAGCATGGGAGGCAGCCATGATGCAGACTATTCACAGCTTCAGTGGTACCCCTAGCAGTGCATGACTCTGTTCCTATACTGAAACTGGCCCCCCCCCCCCCCGTTAAGGACCATGAATACTTTGGTGTATGAATTATTTTTCTCATCCTTCTGACTATTATTTTTTTTAAAGTTTAAGGATCTATGTTTGACAACCAAACACTTTGAGAAAAAAACAATCGATAAATCAACAGATTGAAAAAGAAGGCTTCACAGTCAAAAACATTTACTTTCATAATGGAAAATCTTGCATGACTAATTTATTCTGTATATCCTAAAATATTGTCCATAGCGTTCATGATTGTTACCCGAGCTGACAGTGGGCTCCTAATAGTCTTTGCACAAAGTTGTGTGAGAAATCAGGGAACTGTGTTTATTCTGGAGATGGAAGAACAGTAGATAGGATGCGATTCTAAAACAACTGGGGCAAAGCAATATGAAAATTATAATGCATTCACAAACAATAAAAATATCATACATTGACATAGATATTTGCTAAAAGTAAAATGATTGCTGTACAGCAAAATGTTTTGGACATGGATGAAAATTCACAATAACTCCATTCTCATTAAAATGAGATCTTTTACTTCGATACAATACCTCTTAATGTTAAGATGTGAGGTCACCTCCACAGGAGATCGCGTCAGGTGAACTTTCTAATCACCAAATCAGTGTCAAGAATTCTAAGAATTGTATTCTAAATAACAAGTGAGCAAAGCATTGAGACAAGGATATGTGATTTTTGTGTCTAGAGATTAAACATAATTAGCAAGTTCTGAATGCAAAAAATAAAAACATGCTATTATTCTCTTATGGAGATTTTTCACATCCAGTCATTTCTGAGGACCATTTGTGTTCTGTGGAGGTTTACTTTTGCGGGGGGCAATAATTTTCCGCATAGAAGTGGCAAAGAAATGAAGCCAAATCATATAGAAGACTGACATCTGGCTTAAAAACCCATTCATCCTTCGTTTAGACTGGGTGGTCAAAGTTCACTCAGGGTTCACCCATTGCAACAATCTATGGAGGTATCCTCAGATCTTCATGCAGAGAGATATCGTATTGGAGTAAAGGATCTTCTTTTAATGAGATTGCAATAACTGTTTCTACGGCATGCTCATCAGACTGCCTAGCAAAGATCACCACTGAAGATGGAACCATACACATGCCACTAAAAACAGGAACAGCTACTATACACAAGCCATGCCTAAAACCACTCCCTCCAATGAAATTTCATTTCTCCCTCTACTTTCATAGAATAGCCCTTGCTTTAGTGGTGAGACCTGGCAATAGGATCAGGTTTCACCATACTGCCATCTCAAACATTTCAGCCACACAGCAACTCTATTCAATGAAGGCTTTTTATGGCATTTTCTTGTCCTGTAAGCCACAAACTGCAGCTATCTTTTTAAAGATGCCATTAAGTCTAGAAGGTGGAGCATGTTCTGGGGAGTACCACACACTATCAGCTCTCGTAATGCGATTAGGGGTCAGATAGAAAGGAGCGTCATCTTCAACGGTGTGGGGTGGTCGCTTGTCCCGATAGCGCTTGTACAACCTAACATAGCACCTCTCGGGATCTTCCTTGTCAGCATAAATCTTACCCCCTTTGAATTTGCCTGCGGGGCATTCTAAATATTCATGTCCGTCTTCGTCTTTCGTTAAATGGAAATCGCCCCATGTGAGATTGAAGTGGTCGGCTGGTTGTTTGATGCTAAAGAAATAGTTGTTCACAAACCACATGGTGTTGAGGAGGGTGTCTGGGTTACAGCCTCCTAGCTCACCTGCTTCAAACATGATCGTGACATCGTCCTCAGTTATTGGGGTCTGCACTACAGGACCACCCTTAGACCTTGCCTTTAGCTCACCGATTTTGTCCCTGAGGATCTGATTCGAGTGTTTGAACTGGTCGTCTTTGGTGATTGAGAAGGGGTAATTGGCATCTTGGAGATACCTATCTAAATGACAATGAATTTTCTTCAAATACAACGGTCCAAACTCTTGGCCATTGTTTTTTCTGAGGGTCAAGAAGAAGTCTGAGAGGAGGTTATCGAGTCTCTCGGGATGGATAGTCTGAATTGGCTTCATTCCCTCTCCCCGCTTCTTCTGGTAGTCATTAAACAATTTCAAAGCGTGACGCTGGTTCTTCAAGGAGGACTTGTATTTCTTGATTTCTTTGTCATCAGATTCCCCTTTGGATCCTCCCGGCTGGGATTCTTCCATCATCTCCTGGCTTAGCTCGGCCAGTTCCTCATCCTCCAGAAACTCCTCCATGTCCACCTCAACAAACTCATCTGTTTCTTCATCAATCATCAGCAGAGACTTGTCAATCACCTGCTGAGGAACACTAGCAACCTCCTGAGGTCGAGCAAATCCAACATCAGGCGATCTCATTGAGATCTGAGAGGTGGACGGGCCGGGGAGCACAGTTTGACCTTGGACATTCTGCACTGGAACAGTTGGTCTTGGACTGTGTTTTGCCACAACAGTAGCAGCAGGAGGCTTCATTCCCAATCTGACCGGAGCCTGTTTTGACGGGTGAATCCCTCGTGCAGCAAAAGCCATTTGTTCTCTGGCATAAAACTCTTCTTCAGGCATGGGGAAATCTTCTGGTTTCATTTCTGAAGCTTCATACTCAGGATCCTCAACCTCCTGTTTGACAAGGCTCAAATCAGGCTTGATTTCAAAGTCCTCCAAGATTGGTGGCTGACTGGTTTCTTGTTCCTGCTGTGGCTGGTGCCCAGACCACTCCTGATCTTGGTCCATCATCTGATCCATCGCCTCTGCATTGGGTGTTCGGTTCCAGTTGCCTTGTGGGCGGCCCTGCTGGGGAGGACCATCCTCCGAGTCCGATTCTGATCCTGGACTCTGCTCCTCGTCATCAGCAAACTGAGTGATCCTGGGCGCAGCAGGCCTCTGTGGCACGTTGGTCACTCTCTCAATGGACACATTCCGATACACATAAGTATCGCTGCCTTCCCACTCCTCGTGCAGGACCCTGGTCTTGTGCCTGGCTTCAGGGTGGTAGAAATGAGACTGGGAACCTTCTTCAGGATAGAAGTCTTGCTTCTCTGATTTGACCGGCACCATTTCTCGATCTTGCTGAGCAAAACCTCGCCTCTGTCCTGGCATCCTGCCCCCAACACTGTGAGGAGGGAGGCCTCCATTGTCCTTCTCCTGAAACACCAGTGACGATACATTGGAAACTTTGAGACCGAAGTTTCTCCCTCGCGGTCTCATTGGAGACTCTACGACCGACTTTTGGTGCATCCTCGGGTTCTGAGGGCCTTGGGGAGGTGGTCTCCTCTCTTGTCTCATTGGCTGTCCAGGACGACATCGCCCATTCAGATTCTCCTTTGACCTTGGATTCAGTCTCTGCTGCCGGCCGAGATTCTGGCTCATCGGCTTCCCTGGAGTACGAAAGGCCTTTGTACAGTAGCTCTCACTGATCACATTGCCACAGCTCTGCACCAGCTCACTGAGGACGTAACGTTCCTTCTTGGTGTTGTCAATCTCAACACAAACATAGCCACTCACTTCCACCAACTGATTAAAGTCCAGGAAGGATTTACACAGTTCTTGAAGATTGTCAACAAAGGTGGCAAAGAACTGCACTGAATACTGCTTGTCCATTTTGATTCTATGTGGGCACCACCTAGTTAAGTTATCTGAAAGACAGAAACACAAGGTAACAACAAGGTATTGTGTATAATATCTTAACATTTAATATTCTGGGAGTGAGTGTCTAAGGCTTACAGGGGTGGGGTGGGGTGGGGTGGGGTAGGTAAGGGTAGGGTAGGGTAGGGTAGTTTAGTTTAATATTCTGGGAGTGAGGGTCTAAGGGGTGGGGTGGGGTGGGGTGGGGTAGGGTAGGGTAGGGTAGATTTATTTACACAACTTTTTATGGAAACAAAACATTTTTCCAGTGAACAAATTTTTACTTATTTTCAAAATCCAACTTAAAATAATTTTTTCTACAGCTTAAACAATTCCAGTGACAAGAACACATTGCATCAATGATATTACATTATTGTCCAAGATTTTCCTGAACGCATTTAATCACAGAACAACTTGGTAAGCTGAATGACTGTATAGTCACTAAGTGAATCTGGTTTAACATTGTTATTAACAGTGCTTTAGTTATATCACAGTGTCAGCCCAAAGTGATGCAGGCCTTAGACGTTTACCATCTTGGAGTAACCCCTAACCAAGGATATGGTACTGAGTAACGAGAAACGAGAAACATCCTCAGGGAGAATCCGGGATTCGAACCCATGATCATAGGTTTCTGGCACGTCTAAGGGACGTAACTCTACCCAGCAATCTGCAGTGGCTTAGCCAACTGGGCCACTGATGCCCCAAGTGAGTGAGTGAGTAAGTGAGTTGGGTTTAACACCGCTTTAAACAGTATTCCAGTTACATCACGGCATGTCAGCTTAATATGGGAGGAAAGCCCGAAGTGATGCAGGTCTCAGACGTTTACCACTTTGGTGAAACCCACGAGCATGGGTATGGTGCTGACAAACCTAGAAACATAATCGGGGCGAATCGGGATTCGAACCCACAATCATAGGTTTCTGGCGTGCCCAAGGGACGCAACTCTGCACAGCGAATCGCGGCGCCTTAGACGACTGGGCCACCCGTGCCCCCCTGCCCCAAGTGAAGTTGTATAGAGGGAACATAACAAGGTTCAGTCAACTCTTGCAGATGTTTTATTGAAGCTCAAACAGAAGCACAGAGATACAATTAGTCACAGACATACATGTGGAATCCTGAATAAAGCAGGAGAGCAGATCGGCAGTGAGACGTCTCTTCTCTTATTGCAGACCCCCCAAAAAAGTAACCTTCAAACCTCCACAGCAATAGGTAAGAATGTCTTTTACCTGACAGCTATTGTTTACAAACCGGACATCTACTTCATTGTGTGATTTTAATGGACTATGCATAGACTCATTGGTTAAGCCAAACAGTAACTCTGGAATTCCAGCGTAGTTCGGCAAGGCTGGAACCTGGACTTTTACAGTCAGTTAACTCCCTTTCCCTGGGAAGTTGGTTAGTTGGTTAGTTGGTTGGTTTGTTGTTTAACGCCGCACTCAGCAATATTCCAGCTATATGATGGCGGTCAGTAAATAATCGAGTCTGGACCAGACAATCCAGTGATTAATATCATGAGCATCGATCCACGCAATTGGGATCGATGACATGCATCAACCAAGTCAGCGAGCCTGACCACCCGATCCTGTTAGTCGCCTTTTACGACAAGCATAGTCACCTTTTACGGCAAGCATAGGTTGCTGAAGACCTATTCTAACCCGAAATCTTCACGGGTCTTCCCTGGGAAGGTTCTAATATTGATAATGAATGATCTTCCTTTAATTATTTACAGATTAATCAAATGTTTGAACATTTCAAAAAATAATTTCTCCTCAATGAACTATGGTGAATGAGTGAGTTTGATTTTATGCCGATTTTAGCAATATTCCAGCAATATCACGACGGGGGACACCAGAAATGGGCTTCACACATTGTACCCATGTCGGGAATCAAACCTGGGTTTTCAGCGTGACGAGCGAACGCTTTAACCACTAGGCTACCCGACCGCCCCCAATGATCTATGGACACAATCAACCATTCATTGCATCATTAAATGGCAACCAACACTATCATCGGAACAACAGGTGCCAAATGTAGAGTTTGGTCCCTTTCAGGTCTGTCGCCATCATGACAGGATCCTAGGGGGAGATCATGGGGAGAGGACAAAACGGGGGGCACTAAAGGATGAAACAATAAACAAGTTACTCAAACACAATTGCTTAGGCTCCACAAGCCACCTGACATCAACCATCTAGATACAGGTCATGCACATTTATCAAAAATATTTTAGTGAGTGAGTGAGTATGGTTTTACGCCGCTTTTAGCAATATTCCAGCAATATCACGGCGGGGGACACCAGAAATGGGCTTCACACATTGTACCCATGTCGGGAATCGAACCCGGGTCTTCGGCGTGACGAGCGAACGCTTTAACCACTAGGCTACCCGACCGCCCCCCAAAAATATTTTAAGATCAATACATTGTCAATACTTCATAGGTTCATTGCCTGTGTCTACATACTCCCTATTTGCCTGTGTGGTTGCTATTTTAAAACCAATGAATGAAGCCACGCACTCAGCCCTGAGGAATGAGAGTGCTCGGACCAATGAGTGATTGGGTATGGTTTTACGCCGCTTTTAGCAATATTCCAGCAATATCACGGCGGGGGACACCAGAAATGGGCTTCACACATTGTACCCATGTCGGGAATCGAACCCGGGTCTTCGGCGTGACGAGCGAACGCTTTAACCACTAGGCTACCCGACCGCCCCCCAAAAATATTTTAAGATCAATACATTGTCAATACTTCATAGGTTCATTGCCTGTGTCTACATACTCCCTATTTGCCTGTGTGGTTGCTATTTTAAAACCAATGAATGAAGCCACGCACTCAGCCCTGAGGAATGAGAGTGCTCGGACCAATGAGTGATTGGGTATGGTTTTACGCCGCTTTTAGCAATATTCCAGCAATATCACGGCGGGGGACACCAGAAATGGGCTTCACACATTGTACCCATGTCAGGAATCGAACCCGGGTCTTCCGTGTGACGAGCGAACGCTTTAACCACTAGGCTAATCAACCACCCCTCGGACCAATGAACGCTCATGATAACCAATGAACCAAAATAACGCAGCATAAAAATCATGCACAGAGTAGGGCTCATTTGGTTTCACTGAGTTTTTAAACAGCTTCACTTCATGAGCTTGACACACACGTGACTATCACACTGCCAAGGGGGAGTATGTAATCATGGTGATGGAGGAACAATGTGTACTCAAGACCATGAAGTATTGATGCCGAGATTAATCCTCTGGTTACGTTTCTCACGACTAACCTATCAACAACTTCAACTGCTGGCAATTTACAATCTGGGCAATCAGACCAGGGCCATGTACCACAAAGCAATCAAAGTGCTAGGATAATTGTAAGTACCATACTTTAACATAGACTTACGACAGTTGGAGCACTAAGACGATCGTAATTTCCATACTTCGACATTTGACAGACGTAGCACCAAGACCATTGTAACGATCATACTTTAATGTAGACTTACGACAGTTGTAATTCACATACTTTTACATAGACTTGCGACAGTCGTAGCACCAAGCAATAGAACACCCATATTTTAACGTAGACTTATGACAGACATAACGCCCTTACTTTAAAATAGACTTGTGACAGTCGTAGCACTAAGACAATCGTAATTCCCATATTTTAACAGACTGACGGCAGTCGTAGCACTAAGACAATCATAATTCCCATACTTTAACAGACTGACGGCAGTCGTAACTCCCCTACGTTAACATCAACCTTCATAGCAATGAGATCATTTTGTGTAGCAGAGCCCTGATCTCTTCAATGAATCCAATAAATATTTGATTGTTCAGGTCAATACTAAACTATTTCCACATGAAAAATATACTGATGGAAGTAAAGGAACAATACAGCTGAAATTGACTGACATGACACCAACAGGAGCCCTTAAGATAATCTCAGATTTCTGGCCTATGTAGTGACATATTTAACATGTCTCTTGGAATGCTGAGTTTGATGTTTGTTGTTTAACAACGCACTCAGCAATATTCCAGCTCTATGATGACAGTCTGCAAATAATCAATCCAGTGATTGACATCATGAGCATCGATTAACACAATTGGGATACAATGACATGCATCAACCAAGTCAGTGGGCCTGACCACCCGATCTCTTTAGTCGCCTCTTACGACAAGCAAAGTCGCCTTTTACGGCATGCATGGGTTCCTGAAGACCTATTCTACCCCGAATCTTCACGGGTCCAGACATTATGAGTAAGAAGCAATTTAGAAAAGCAGCAGTAGCCCTTTATCTGTTTTATTTCCCTCACGTTCCCTTTTTGTCTTTAGTATCGTTTCATCTTTATTACTTGTACAAGTTGCCATTGTCACAAACAGTAGTATTAACATGGCTACATGAGGTCCTTCGCATAATAACCATGACACTACGTAACAGTTACGGAAGTTTCTTGCACCGAAGTCCACATGCTTCTGCCATCTTGTTCAACACACCCGTCAGTCGAGACACACTAACACCATTAGCTGAAAACCATGGCCCAGTGGCAGTGAAGACATGAGCAGGGCAGAGATAAAATGGTGCATCGTCTGTGAGAGTGCTGGGGGGCCGTCGGTCACGATAGGTCTTGTACAAGGTCACAAAGCAGCGTTCAGATTCATATTCATCACTGAATACTTTCCTTCCTTTAGATTTGCCATTTACACATTCCAGCATTTCCAGTCCAAAACCAGTCTTGCACAAACGGACGTCCCCCCACCTGAGGTTGTAGTGGTCAAAGTTTTGTTTGATGTGGAGGAACATGTTGTTCATGAACCACATGGAGTTGAGAAGTGATTCTGGACTGTCCGTCCCGAGCTCCCCAGTCTGGAACATGATACTGATGTCTTTACCAGTCACCCGGGTGCAGTTTCGGGGCTTTGCTCGAGCTTTAGCTTCTGCAATTTTCTCTCTGAGAATTTTCCTCGAGTTCTGAAACTGGTCATCTTTTGTGATAGAGAATGGGTAGTTGGCATCTTTCAAATA